TCCCCGCAGCCGCCCCGCGCGGCCCCCGCTCCGCACCGGGGAAGGTTCTAACTGACCCGCTGGCGCCCGCCTCCCGTCCCGCGAACCCGCGGAGGTACCGGCTTTATTCCCGACTCTAGAGATGTGTTGTTTCCAGACTTAACAGACATGGGGTACAGCGGCGTCTTCTTTCGTGGTCGTTTGTGTGGGTCACCAGTTCGCCTTCCTAAGCGGTGGGAGAGGGGGGACTGCAGGCTGCTTTCTGCACCTTAAAGGAAGCTCGGCCGGGAGGGAAAGGGACGCCATGAAGGGGGGGTGGCAGCCAGCCCGAGGAAAGGTGCTCCGGGTCTGCACTGCCTCGCTGTCCCCGTGCCCGGGACTGCGGGAGAGAGACCTGGGGTGACAGTGCCGCGGGAACGACCTTTGATCTTCCGCGGCTGCGGCCCTTCCCAAGGCCCAAGGCCCTGTCCGCCTGCCCCCAACCCTCTTCAAAGCCAGGGCTGGTCAATACAGATGCTGGAGACAGGAAGGGCCCAGCGTGCTCGGCTTCACACGTCGTAAACCACACAAAGACCCCGACTTCCCAGACCGCTGGGCTCTGTCCACACGCTTCACAGAGACCCTCCGCCGGGGATGCGCTTACTCACGACGGAAAGGGCAGGCCGGCCATTCTCAAGCGCTTAGCGCCACAGAGTCCATTGGGCCTAACGCTGACTTCTCCAGACAAACAAAATCCACCCAAATAAAAGGCGTTGGACATCTGGAGCCGCACCGCACTGACGGGGCGGCCAGGACCGCGACCCACGACCCACGGGGGCGGAGTCAGTGCTGGCAGCGGCGTAGGGTCGCCTCCCCGGGCGCGGGTGGTGCGGGCTGCGGATTACAGCGGGCGAACCTGGGCCTGCGTCTTCCTGTCTGTGCTCTCGGCCAGACCCAGGGTGGGTCAGAGGGGCAGGCGGGATTTTAGGGCCTCGAGAGCATGGTCGCTGTGGAACAAAAAAGGGTTGAAATGAATTCCTCTGGGGGTTATGGAAAAACCAGAATGATTTTGCTGAGGGAAATGGGGTGACTTGTTGATGTAGACTACACACCTGTCACCAGGTAAAATAGCCCTCCCTGGCAGTGGTCATTTTAGGAAGGAGGACAGGAGGCTGTCCAGGGTCGATCTTGGGGAATTCAGTTTGCAGTCACTGCCCTCCCCCAGACTCCTGAAGGTGCCCTCAGGGCCAGCTGACTGTCCTGGCGGATGGGGGAGGGGGCCAGGAGGGGGTGGTGATGAGACCGGCAGCGACACATCAGCCTCAGAGCTGACCCTCGTCACAGGTGGCGGCCACAGTTGCTCTATCCTGGGGAGGCAGAGTGCCAGCCAAGGGCTTCCTGCTCTGAAAAGGTGGCTACGACACTCAGGTGTCTTAGCCTTTGCAAACCCTCCCTCCTCAAAGGGAACAGGTAGGAGGAAACTGGGGACACGGGAGGCATGGAGGGCAGCAGGTGGCAACTGTGTGGCCCCTGCAGTCAGACCTGGTCCCAGTCCAAACCCTGAGGCCGAGTGGTTTGCCGGGTAGGACATTCTCCACCTCTTTGAAACTGTACCCTATAAAATACTTCTTCTGCTGTCATAGGGAAGATACCGGATGATAATTCTAGAAAGCTCACAGCAGTAGTAGGTGATCAAGAAACGTGAATGCAAACTTCCTGTACTTCATTTGCAATGGAACCCCAATTTCCCATCCGTCTGCCAGGCCACTGATCTGTTGTTGTTGTTGTTGTTTTTGTCTTTATACATTTGTCATTTTTAATAATAGAATCAAAAAAAGAAATGTGAATGTTCCCCTCTCTCTACTTATAGGCAGGACTGCATTTTTATCTCCACGAAGACATGTTCGAAGACAAGTCTATGCTGTCATTACTGGCTGCAGGTGAATGCTGGCTTTCACAAAACCGTGAGTTACTGCGGTTGCTGTCACTTACCCGCTGCTAGCCTCCAAACTGTCCAGCTGGTTCTATGTGTCTCAGAACGACACTGCCCCATTACGATGAAAAAGAGACACTTGCCAATGGAATCACTTCAACCAACTCTCAGATAGGTAAAAAGCTTTTTGAAGAAAAATGACATGGTCCCTATGCAGTTTTTACCTTTTAAAAAATCCCTCTTATAGCAACCTGACCTGCTAATTTTGAAGTTTTCCTGGCCTGCTTTTGTCTGGGTGCTCTGCCCCTCCCACACTCCCCTTCCTGTCTTCTATTCACCTTTCACCTGCATGGAAAGCCAGGCTCCCAGAATCTGAAACCCCTTCCCGCATTCCCACACCTGTCTGGGGAAGATAACTAGGTCTAATAGAGCTATTTACAAAGCCTGGTGTTGATTCTTTCGGCTTAAAAAAGCCCTTGGAAGTGCTTTTACTGTAAATATTTGAAGTGTGTGTATGGTGTGTGGGGGGGTAGTTCTGGATTCTCACACACTGCCTTGCTCAGCCTTCTGCCTGAGTGTCCCGGACGCTGCAGGCAGGGGGAGGAGGGAGACTGCCTTTTCCTGCCTGGGGCCTGGGGCCAGCAGGGGTCAGAGTGAGCCACCTCCGCCTAAGTACCTCCGGAGGTGGGTACTGTCTCCTGCAAGCCTGTGGGGATCCCCGCGCAGAGAGGGAGGGCTCTGTCACCCAGGACCCGCTTGATGGCAGGTAAACGAGGTCTGCAGGCCACGGGGACGCAGACGCTGCCCTCTCGGCCTTGATCGGCAAGGGCTCAAGCGACATTTGTGGAAGGTGAACTCACGAACGCACGCACGCACATGTACGCGCCCCCCCCCCAACACCTGACAAGCACAGATTTCCCAGAAGAGGTGAGAAGGTTCCACCTGCAGAGCTCGGCGACAGGGACACACCGCTCTTGGGCGCCGTGGGAATGGGAACGGTCTTCGCTGTGCTGCGGTCACCGAGCAGAGCGACCAGATCTGGAAGCAGCGTGGAGTCCGCGACGCAGAAGTGGACAAAACTCAAGCGCTGGCAAGGAGGAGGGAGAGGATGCTTGCTGCTGGCTCTGGGTGCCACGATCCCAGAGCGGGACGGCGTGTCTGGCGGACGAGGGGGGTGCTGGACTCGGACAGCCGCGGGCGCCACAGGGGCCCAGGGGTTGCCAGCGCCTGCCTCCCGGCTCAGCACCCCAAGGAGGGCGAGCAAGAACCCTAGATTGCGCCTCCAAGTCTTCAAACCCTGTCGCTGTCACCTCCCGGCCCGGCGCGGCTCGCTACCCCGGGCTGTTTAGGACCCCGCGGCGCAGGGGCGGGGCGGCGGGCGGCCAGGACGGTGACAGGTGCGCCCCTTGGCCAATGGCGGGGCCGGTGCCCCTCCTCGCGCCCCCGCCGCGCGAGGGCGAGCAAGAACCCTAGATTGCGCCTCCAAGTCTTCAAACCCTGTCGCTGTCACCTCCCGGCCCGGCGCGGCTCGCTACCCCGGGCTGTTTAGGACCCCGCGGCGCAGGGGCGGGGCGGCGGGCGGCCAGGACGGTGACAGGTGCGCCCCTTGGCCAATGGCGGGGCCGGTGCCCCTCCTCGCGCCCCCGCCGCGCGCGCCACA